TGAACTGTTTCAAACAATAAAAGAGGTTGTGCAACATTTTCTCTAGACTTTTTTGTATTGAGTCAATCACAGCTTTAAACGTGTTTAGTTTCATCCCCATTTAAGAATAAATTACATGCTGTAACAGGCATGTGCAGTCTTATGTTTGTGCAAAATTCTAATGATAGCCATGCTTATGACTTAAAATCTAGCTTGTATCCAATATTCTAGAATGTTTTACTTCACCACAGGTTTCTAGACCACTCCTTTTTGATGCAAATTGAATAATTTGCCCAAAAGAAGAGTTTTGGAATGTTTCTTGTTGGGAGTGTTTCCTATTAAACATGCTCTGTGGTTGTCTAAAGTAAAAATAAATAAATAGAGCACGTCCTTCCTTTTTAAAGGAATTTGTAAGCCAGCAGAATCTTGGCAAAGTTCTCTTATACCAAGAAAACAGTATTAGTTGCCATATTGTACCAGCAGGGTGTCTCTATAAATGCACAGAAAAATGCAAGGGACAAAGTTGGAATAGTTGCATGGCTCAGAAATGCTGGTGGAAAAGGACATGGTGTGGGAGAAGCAGATTTATGGCAACACCAGTATAAATAACTTCCCCACCCCCATTTTGTCAATTTAGCAATGCACAAGGATATTGGGGAAGACACAGCCTCCCACAGCAGAGCTTGAAAAGAATTTGTGCAAGAAACAAAAACAATCCTCCACTGATACAGGACTGGAAGAAATGGGAAGCATAGGGATTTACTGGAAAGGGCACTAAGGACCCTCTCTGTTGGCACAGCCACCCAAACACTGGCCTCTAAACTGCTTTTCTAAGGACAAAAAGAATCTAAGCATCACTTAAAAGACAAGCTGAAGGTCAACAATACCCACTGCCCTGTCTCCTCGCAGCAGGGTGTCTGTGAACAAGCCCACCCATGCAGAATGACCCACTTCATGAGACAAGACTAACACAAACATGGTGACCTGGGGCAAGTATTTGCAGGCTGAGGATTGTGCTAGGAACAGGAGACAAATGCACCAGCCAAGTATTTGGGTTCTTTGGCATCTGCCAGAGCAGCCATCTGCTTCGGTTGCAGTCAGAGCTGCCACCACGCTTCCTTTCTCTTTCCATAGGATTATAAAGTACAGGAAGACCTTATATATTATTACAAGAGTTAATCACCAGTGAATAAAAACCTTAATTCAGACTACCCAATCTAAAATCTTCTACATGTGTTGGTCTACAATTTCCATCATCCCCAGTTGGTAATGGTTATACTGGTTGTGGATGATGGGAGCTGCAGGCCAACAAGTTCAAAGAGCATCAGATTGGGGAAAAAAAGTAATCTTAAAGGATTCTACAAGCTCTCAGTCTTCAAGGCAACTGCAACCCTAAGAAGCCCATCCTTCCAATGAAAAACTTTTAACCACGGAACACAGTAGCCCTATTCAGGCGCCTTTAACTGTACCCATGTGTATGCATCAGACCTGCCTCTCTACCCCTAACTTTTCCAAATTTACCAGGAAGGTCTGATTGAGAACTGCAGGTGAATAATTATCTTCCATAGACTCAGGCTCCCCAGTTCCATGGGGCTCACAGTTATGGGGAAGGAATGGAACATTCCTGAACTTGGTGTGTTTGCAATCCCATGTTTGTCACCAGCCCAAGACAATGTTAGACCTTCCCTTTTAATGCAGGAAGGTCAGGCAGAGGGAGTCACCTACCCAGCACTGCAGCCCTCCACTGTTAGTTCAGGACTACCTAAATAGAGCTATTTGTAAAGTTGTTGCATGGGATAGACACACCCGGGCAGGGGGAGAAGTGGTTACCGTATTTCTCTAATCCAAATTGGCACTGGCTACCCTATTTTAGTGACCTACCAGAGATAGATTCAGTATCTCATCAGCCATTCCAAATAAGGAAGGTCAGGAAGGCTGCAGAAGCCAGAGGCTGTGGGCTGCTTTCTTGATAAGCCAAGTACTGTTGCCTTGCACTCAACTCAGAAGACACGCATCCATTTTGGGATTGTAATTTGGTTATTACGAGGGCAGTCACAAGCAACAGGCCATGGAATATGGCAAGAACATTGCATGAAAAGGTATTAGAAATGATGACTAAGAAATTATAAAAAAAAAGAGGCAAAGTTGAACATAAAGATGCTCTGTCCTGAAACTGGTGCAGCAATCTCAGTATACCTATCCCAGTGTCTCAGCAAGATTCTTTCCCAAGGCCACTGTGTGTCCTTATTCATACAGAATAGTTCTAATCCCAATTCATTATTACTGAAAAGGCAAGAAGCACTACCTGTCTAGTGCTTTTAGGTTTGTGGTTGCAGAGTTGCTTTACCGCTAACTTCTCCAGTTGCTGCTGCTTCCTTGAATTGTAGAAATAAATAATTTGGAGTGGAAGACACAATATCTGTAGCAGATTTGGAGGTGTGAAAAGGAAGTGTCATTACTTGTCAGGAACAGGTGCATCCAGGATTTAAGAGAAAAGATGTCTTGATTTCTAATGAAGCTGGAGAGCACAATTAAAGCACACTGGAAAAGAAAGGGTTTATCATGATTAGTTGATACAGAATAGCATGGCAGACATTTTAGCTAAATCATGGAGTCAGGATTTAAAATGGTAGGTGATAATCTGAAGTTTTTCTTATTTTCTGTACCATCCTAAGAGGTCAGGGGTCATCTCCTGCTACTAAGAAAATAAGTTTCTATACCATATCAGCTCTTGCTTCTAACTCCTTCCTTGCAGTAGGGTTCTTTCAGTCTATAAAAAGTGGCACTGTCTTGGTACCTGTGAAATGTATGAATGTATCTTTATAAAGCCCATTTCCTGTCCCCCTTGAATCTCTGAGTTGGAGGAAGTTAATCCATGAGAGAGAAGCAGACAGCCAAATTGTAGGTTATATTGTATTTGAAATAAAGGTTGCTGTTCTGTTAGTAGTTTAGCTTGCTTCCGACAGGCAGTATAGAAATGAGACAAACAAGTAAATAGTACCATGTCTAACTGTAGTCAACAAGGCCTACTAATTTTGCACTCTCTTTTGACTCAAAAAGAAAGCATCCCACTGTTGACACTGTATGATATCCAGGTTTATATGAGAATTCAGGAGAATATATATTTATGTAGTCAGCTTCCAGGAAAAGAAGTTCCCAAAGGCAGGAATCAGATAGATGCACCAAGAACTTACAAAACTGGAAACTTTACTTGAAATAAAGTAGACTTCATTTTCTGTGCCCAAAAATATCTACTGAAGGTTACTCCAGGACATGCATAAGTATCAACTGCAGTCCCTGAATGCAGAAAAATGGGATGCAACTGATATTACCTACTGAACATCTCTCAGTGAAGAACTATTGCTAGCGAGCAACCAGAAATCATCTGTATCTCTCACACACATCGGTAATATATCCACTTCTGTTATCTGATCTTCTAGTTGTAATGTTGTAATGTAATCATTGTACAATGTACCTGCTCCTTTAAGAATAAACAGACTCAAGGCCAAACTATATAGTAGGAAATCTACCACATTTTAAATGTGCCAAATGCCACATTCTGTCAATATGTATTGGGACTATACTACTTTTTCTTTTGCACCCCCTTTTCCTCTGTGCTGTGTTTCCAGCCTGCATTGCCTTTTCCTGGAGATACCACTTGTCCTAAGGGACAAACATGCCCCTGCTTTCAGCAACTTGCTGCTTATATGAATTGTACCCCTTGGAGGCTCTATTTAAACAAGCAGATGTCTTGCTCTCTTGTCTATTTCCTGAGGCAGGCCATGCCTGCACATGCAACACAACAAAATGAGAGGGTAAACTGCAATCATAGTTTTGAATGCTCTCCTACACTTACTACAAGAAGAAACTAGCACCTCAGGGTATAGACCTTGTTGACTTATTTCTTAATTGCAGGGATCCCCCTCCTTTTTAACATGTAGGTGCTTTCAGAAATGTATTGCTACCTCCAGCCTGATGTGCTACAGTCCCAAATTCTGCCCCTTCATTCTTTGGCATGTGAAGAAGACCAGGCCTAAAGGAAGTCTTGAATATCTGAGAAGGGGGTGAAACGGGTTTGTATCAAAGCAGATTTGAGTCAGATTCTGGCCTAAAATCCCTGAGCTCTAAGGCTTTTAATGAGCAGGGCATATGGACAGACTGGGTGGATAGATGACTAGGTGGACTAGGAATGTATAAAAGCTGGAGCAATTTCAGAAAGTTGCCTGGGGGATTTGATAACAGCTGTGAGAAGGGGATGGGTTCTCTGGTTCTCACTGGGAGATGTGCGGAATATGGAGTGTACTGTTTCACATTCACATAAATACATCCTTTCTAGTTAAGTGCACAAGAAAGCTACAGAAAAGATTCCCAGGAAGTCCTCTTGGGCCAAAAATAATACTACAACTCTGTCCAAGAAATATCCACAATTCAAGGAAAAACTATATTTAAGATTGCAATATATATTTAGTCTTGTATTTTATTGTATATACAAATTACATTGGAGTTAAAAAGAGTTCTCAAGGTAACACACCAGTTAGAATGTATTAAACGGTATCCTAATAAATATAATAAATTAAAATCAGGAGAAAAATATAGTTTGCAAACTGAGTACGGAGCTATATTTAAATCATCCACATGCAGGAAAAAAGTGAAACGAGGGTTTGCAGCTGGCTCTTATCGGCATTTCTTCGGAAGCAATTGATTACTGTTGATTTCAAAGGGACCTACTTCCAACTGTGTTTGCGGGCGACTGCGGCCTTTCCAGCAGGACTCACTTCCCAGACTGGGCTGCTCACGTGCTCCCTGATTTGTTCGGCAGGACCGACGCTCGCGCTTTTTGCTGCTTCTGCGGCGAGCCTTAATCTCTTTTCATTAGGAGGAACGTAGCAGTATTGCAACTTCAGTTTCACACGCCCAGGAAAAGGGCTTGCTAGGCAAGGGTTAAGAGCCTGGGAGTGGCCCTGGAATCCAGGTTTGTTTACCAGCCATTCCTCTCTGGCTCAACAGGTTGCTGCCGCGGCGGCAGTGTGCTCAGTGACTGGAATCTAGGTGGGGCGCTCCCCTCCCCAGGAGCTTTTCTGCTGATTAAGAAGCTGGGAGCTTATTCACTCACTTCTCAGACGCACCGGCACAGCCTAGGAAGTCACCTGGAGGAAGACCGTGTCTGCCACGCTTGCTCGCTCGCCCGCCCGCCCGCCCGAAGGTGGTCTGCACAAGATGATCCGGTGCGGCCTGGCCTGTTGGAGGTGCCGATGGCTTCTGCCGCTGCTCCTGGGCTTAGCCATCATCCTGGGCATAATTGCACTGTCCGGCCGGGGATGGTTAGAGTCCGCGGAAGCACCTTATGTGCGCCAGGCTTCTTTGTGGTGGGACTGCGCCAAGCTAACTCCTGATGACTTGAACTGGAAATGCAGCTCCCTCATGGAATACAGTAAGTGTTTGTAGTCGATAGGTCTTCATGATTGCTTTCTCAGGTCCGATTCTGCATTGCAAATTATTCAGGTCCCAAATTGTGACCTTAGAGATATTAATATAGATTAAAGTGGACCCACCATGTGTTGTCGTGGATTAATTACTTGGGCGTGCATGAGGAGGGAATCGAGTTTTATTTTAATGTCAAAAAGCATCCCTAAAGTGGATTACTTGGTGTTGAACTGTCTTTGAGTACATAATATATTGTCAAAAGGCCACACTTGCTACCGTTGAGTTTTGTACACTTAGCACTATTGCCGCATGGACCAAGGAATTGTTTGCTTAAGGAAAAATAAAACTGTTTTGTGAATGTGAGCTAGAAGGCTTAACAGTTGCTGTTAGCAAATGCTATCATTGCCCAGAGGAGCAAAAGAAAGCTTGTGATTTCTTGTTCCTGGGTGATCTGGAAAAGCGAGAAACCAGACTTGGCTAGCGTTAAAAGGTGGAGGGAAAGCAGCAGGGCCTACTTAGCGGGGGAGAGGCAAGCCTAGCAAACCCAGAGAGGAAGAGAGAAGGAGAAGCAAGGGTAATAATTAAACAGCAAGGACTTTACTTTCAGGCTGCTTGGTTCAGTGTTTTAATGTATAATGAGAGCTCAGCGGCAACAATAGCGGACAAGATTATTCATTTAGGGTAGTAATCTCTTAAGCTTCAGAAGTCCTGATGAGACCATTGGCTGCCACTCCCTTTACCCCATGGAACTTCTTTTTTATTATGTGAAGACATGCCCACCAGCACTTTAAATGCACAAAAGATACATTGTATGACAGTGATAGTTGTAGAATGGAAAAATAAGTGCCTGAGCCTGCCAAATAGTTTTTGAATTATTATTATTGCTGTGTGCTTTATGGTGCAATTTCCAACCAGTTTCTCGGTAAGAGATTCTGAAAGTGGGCATTTTCATGGCTACATACTATCGTACTCCTTCAAAAAATATCTCCTTCACTGAAATATCTATAGGTCAAATGTAGACTATATGTAGTGTGAATATACACTGTTCATGCTAAAGGTACTGTGTTCAGAAAGAAACAGAATCCAGGATTCACAAGCTCTGTGCTTCCAGTCATGTATGTAAAAACAGTAGGCAAGTTTTAGCATTGGGTGTACGTGCCAGCAATGGTGGGGTGGTACAAGTGCTGGACCAGTTCCTGGGAGATTCAGGTACTCTCAGCCCAGCCTACCTCACAGGGTTGCTGTTGTGAGGATAAAATGGAGCTGTGTAAGCCGCCTTGGGTTCCTCACAAGAGGGGTGGGGAGGTGGAATATAAATGCAGTATAAATAATAAGTACATAGGACCCAGTATATAGAGCTACATTATTTGTAACTGAGGCCATATGCAGACCTGGTTGAGATTTTTTATCTTTTTTGACTGCTAGACTCATATATCATTATATTGTAGTGAGCAATCAGGTGTAGGTTTTTGTCTAAGATAGATTTTTTTTTCCAGGAACTACATGTACGTATACTTCTGAAGAGACTTGATGTTTATATTCCAGTTCTTCCTTAAATGGTTGTTGTGGGGTGAAGAGAATGTGCAAGACCTGTATCTTTATGTGGAGGAAAAACAAGAGTCTTACGGTATCTGGAAGATGTGGGTGTGTCCAGACAAGGCTTTTCTTGTGCAATTGCACTACTCCATTTATTGAATCTCAGAGGTTCCTGCTGGTGTCATCTGTTTGATGCCCACTTTATTTTTTCCACCACTTAAGTCTCTTATAACAAAATCCATTAAAGAAGGAAAGGTGGAATGGATGTGTGATGCCTTTTGATTGGGAGTTGTAGGAGCCTTTGGCTGAATTTATTATAAATTTTAGTGTGGATTCTTACATGATTGCATACGCCTTGTGCTTCTAATACACTAAAGTAAGGATATAAGATTGAGGCTAGGTGCCTGCTTCTTCTGAAATAGGTGATTAACTCTCTTTCTGTTAAATTCAAATGCCCTGCCTATGGAAATAAACAAGGCTTGGCAAAAGCACAATGGCTTCAGTCTAGGGATCAGTGATACCTCCCATTGCTAAACTGCAACTTTAAGAAACTCTCTTCATGTGGTGAGGGATGGGACTCTGGACAGTGGGTGGGCCTTCCATGGCAAGCCCGGCCAAAACATAAACATGTTCCATTAAAGTTGAGAGCTGGCCTTAAGCATGTACAAACTGTATTTTGAATAGGTTCTTTATACAGATTTGGCTATTAAATATATGCAACAGAGCTTGTTTGCAAGTAAATATAATTTAATCTATAGAAGTAAGAGATTTTTGCAAACATAGTATTGTGCTCTTTTGTTAAGATTTTTCATCACCACTGCATTTCAATTTGTGTGCATGCCACAGCCAATTTGGGCATGCAGGCTACTGCAAACTTAATTGTACGGAAGCCTTTAAAGTACAATTATATTCAATAATGAGAGTTTATCTGTTTTATGACTGCAGTAATTTGTCTGCAATCGTATCATGAAGCAATTCTTGTTCAATTTAAAGAACTGAGCAGTGTTAAGCTTTTTCATAGGAAACCTATTATTTTAGTAGAGAGGATACTGAACACAAGTAAGGTTTTCTGGAACAAGTCACAGTAATATATGCACTTTAGAGGCATCTGTGAAATCCACTACTTCACACCCCAGTCAACCTAAACTCTCCCACTTATTTTTGCCATCACTTGCCAATTAATTCTAACTCTTGGGCAGGAAGAACTGCCAAAATTGTAGAGAGATTTCAGTTAAGGTGAGCAGTTACAGTCCCTGGAATGCCTTGTCACCATATGCCATCCTTTGCCCATTTACCCTTTTGCTGTCTTAAGGCTACATCCAGTATGGAAGGTGCCTATTGCCACCAATGCGATACTGATCCATTTTTTCCAGCAGATTTTTTGCAGTAAGGGTTTCTCTACGTTGAGGGATTTAAACTGTTTTATCGAGGTGGCTTCTTCTGTTTTTGCTGAGGCAAGAAAAGTGTGTCCTTTATACAGGCTTTTTCCTAGGGTTTTGTATTTCTCTTCCTTGCTATATAGCCTATGAATTAACCACAAGGTGGTGACGTGGTATAACTGCATTATTGCTGATGTGCAGTTTCTCACAAAGCTTTTGTTCTGGTATCCTGTAGTCTCTCTCAAAAGAACCTTGTCTTTTTAGGTTGGTAAATATGAGAGAGGCTCTGCAGGTTGGTGACATCATGAAAAGGCCCCACAAACTTTCCTGAATAGGGATCACAAGAACACAATAAATATATTTGTAGAGGTGCCCTAAGAGAAAGGAAGAGATGGTGGGAAAACTTAGGAGGGTGATGAGAGCGTATGGTCTCCCTGTAATAAGCTGTTGACAAGGCAAGGCAGTGGCACCATAAAAGTAGTGGAACCATCTTAAGTGTCTAATGCAGCATAAACCTGTGTGGTGAAGTGGCTAGAGTGTAGGGCTGGGAACCTAGAGAACTGGGTTCTTGTCCCCACTTTGCTATGAATCTCACTGGGTATCCTTGGGCCAGTCACAGACTCTCAGACTTACCTACCTCACAGGGTTGTTGTGAGGATAAATTGAGTTATGTAAGCTGCCTTGGGTTCCTCCTGCAAGGTAAAATTTTTATTTAAAAAAGATATAAAATTTATTTTATTTAAATGATATTTTAATTATTGTTAATATTATTTATTGGTCTTAAATTTATAGTCAGGATGAATCCAGATTTTATATGTACTTATCTGTATGATTGTTTATGATGTTGGAAGCCGTCCCGAGGCTTATGCGAATGGGATGGCATACAAAAAATCCAAATAAATAAATAAATAATAAAAAGGCTGGGATTTAGTGCAGTGCAATGCAATGATGATGATAAGCCATCAGCCAGGCTTGTTATTCTTTGGAAAATTACTCTTTGGATGTTGTTCAACCTTATGTTCCAGATTAAGAAGTTTTATTAAGAGCAGGGATGCAAATATACTGGGAAAGGATGCAAATATAGGCAGCTGGATTAGAAGAAATAGTACACTTTACTTTCTAAATTAGACAATATCTGATCAAAATCTTAAAACTTACTTATCCGTGATGTCCATAAGATAATTTCTCATATGAAATAATTTCCATTATGCACCTTGTAAAATCAGGAAAAGAGAGTTGATAGGATAGTTGGGGTTTGGGCAAACCTCTAGTGCAGAATGGACATGGCTTGTTCAACCATATACAGAGGAGTCCATATGTGTAACTCCTTTTGACAATTCAGGAAGATGGAGGCAAAAGGAACCCATTAGAATTCCAAAAGGATTGGCGGATATTTGCACTGTGCTGCATGTAGACCATGTGTTTGGGAGGGGGAATTCCTACCTGTATGTACAGAGGATGCTCAAAATGCGATGGGCATGTTACTTTGAAATGAGGAGGCTAAACTGCATTGGCCTTTCTTTTACAGTACCTTCTTTATGTATGGTGGTCATCGTTTCATTTTAGAGATATGAAAGAGAAGTTTGTTTGGGGGAACTGGAAGTGAATTAAACCTTTGTAACTCCTTGGTATTGTAACTCCTGCTTGCTAATGAATTGCACCAAATGGTGCAGCTAAGATTGAGGCACAATAAGCTTGATTTGAATGATCACCACAGAACGTCTGGGTTTCCTGGCTGACATCACTTGCCATCAGTTTGCAGCAGGTTTTGTTTGTAAAAAGTGATAATAAATGTAACATGTAACAAGGGATTAGTCACTGTAGCATAATGTTGATGGTATAAAAACAGGTTCTAATTAAAATCTGTACATACCATAATTCATGCTCTTACTCCACCCTTTCCAATGATAATCAATCTCATAATTCTCAAGAAAGATCACTTGTCTGTGTGAACCATCAGTGACTGATGATGCTTATTCAAGCTGGTACTTGTTTTGAAGGTTGCAGAGCAACAGAATGATCCACTCCTTGAATATGGAGTGGTGGCAAGGATTCTTCTGCATGGACTTTATTCTTAATATGCCAACTTCTTAATTCTAATTCAATTCAGACTAGTTGAATTAACGTGGTGTCAGGTTCATCTTTATGCATATTTTTTCTGCTTTATAGTGTGAAAAAGGAAGCTGTGAATTTTATAGAAATGGAGTCAACATTTGTGTGGCATGAAAGGTGAAAGGCCACATTCTATTCTCTGGCAGTATTTCTTACTCTCACTTACTTCTTCTTATAGAAAAATATGGGGTTTTTCCATGTAGGAAAATAGCAGCTGGGGTAGATTGTGTGAAAATATGGTCAGAAGGAAAGGGAGCATGGCTTCTCCCCCATCCTATTTCTCCCATCAATATTACAGCATCTGCAGGTTGCTTTCAGTTTTGTTTTGTTTTCATAAAGACTTTGAGGAGATGCACATAAATGTTTATTGTGCTAATTTGGGATTAAGTCTATCTATTTTTTTTAAAAGGAGTAGGGAAACAGATGGAGTAGGCTATTTGAACTACCTAACTTATTTTAAGAAGTAACCATTTTGTGTTTGACTTACATGCAACACACAGTAATAGTTTAACTCTAAAAAATCATTATGATGTATGCAGCAATAGCTAACAGAGTATATGGATTTTATAATAGCCAAACCAGCTTCAGTAGATGTACCTGAAAGTTTCAATGTGGAGTTTATGACACAGAAGTGATGGGGAAGATACAAATGCAGTGCTGGTGATTTGTCAGAGCTTTTCTGTGTGAGACTGTATTAAAGTTCAATTTCATTGCAGAACTAAGATCCAAACTCTACATGAAGGTGTTTTCTTTCCTGCTTTTTCACTATATAACTTTTAGGTAGCACCATGATATATCGGAATAATATACACAGGTATAAAAGCATTTTCTTTCACATTTACAATTTAAAGCTGCATTTTTGCAGCTCTACAAATAAAATAACTTGCTGAAAGTGCTTTTTAGATACTTTAGACATGATTAAGAAATTGGGAGCAGACCACAAGTTACCATATGCCTGCCACACCCCACTTCCCTTAATTTCTTGTACAAAAATATTCCCACTTCCCCATTCTCTAAAGCATGGTTAAGCATTAAATCAGCATTAACATTAAAACTGATCACAGTTAATAGTCACCATCACCTCCTCTTAACTAGTGTTTAGAGATGTTAGCAAACCCTGATAAGGAAAGCTCTTGTTTCAATCATGGTTAATATTAATGGCTGTCTGGGGATGGTAGGAGTTGTAGAATTTTTTTTTCTGTCTAAGCATGCATAGGATTATGCCCTTAATCATGTGGAAGGGTGGGGAAAAGCTTTGTGAAAAAGGCTGTGGGTTGGATCATAGAAAAATCCCATAAATCTAGATTACTGAGCCATAGAGAGACAAACACCTTAGGAAAGGCTCACCATTAATGTGACAGTGATGATCAGCGTAACCACAGATCTGGTTCCTTCAGCTTTTCCAGGCTCTAACTCTCACATGTTCTCTCACATTCTCTCTCACACATGATTCTAATAATTTGAGAAACAGTAAAGTTTTATAATTATGAGTTAACAATATATTTTGTGTGAGACATCTTCATAAACTGTTCCAATAATGGTTCAACGTAGGCCAATATAGCTTACTTCCATTCTCCTTCAGTTATTTATAAGATTGTCTGCTACTGTTTCTTACGGCTGTAAAAGTTTTGATTTAGCACTGAGACCAGGAGAAAGAAACCATGTTCAGAAATATAAGACTTGCTTAATTACTTCTCTATTTAGTAGTTGTTTGGTCAAGGCTCACATCATTCCAATATCAACTATGTGAAGATTAAGGAGAACAAAAAGATCTGGTTATCACTTGCAATTATTAAGGTACTTCTGAATATAAGGGATGCACTGGTGCTTAAGACTTTTCTAGATGATGCTTTAATTGTCTAATTCCTGTATACTTCAATTTTTTGTAGTGAGTATAGTTATTACAATTCTTTCCAGTTAGAATGGCCATTGCAGTTTGGATTGCTTGGATACATTATGATGTTTGCTAGTGTTTCTGATATTAGCAAAAAAAGACAGTCCTCCTGCTGTGCTTTTTCATGTCTGAAAAGCTGAGTAATCTTGCTTTAGTGTGTTTGTACAGCATTGTTGCCCTAATCTTGAGTTTCCCCCATCTTTTTAATCTCTGTGTGGGCGGGGTGGAAGCAGCTGCAGGGAAAGGTTTAAACTACCTCTGCTTGAGTGTGTGCTCAAGCAGGGCCCCATCTACTTACCTGAAGGTAATGCAGAGGGGATCATCTGCACATTATACATTAGTGCAGCATATAGGTAGATTTTAGGTTCTTGGGAGCTGGCAGTATAGGAGGGAAGTCAGTTCAGTCAACGGAGCCAGTATGAGACCTCTCCATCCTGCTTGCTGCCATTCTGCATGGCAGGTGTGCTGTGCTCACATCCTCAGAACATTTCTGTTTGGAGAAACTGGCACTCCAGAACCGAGCACTGGGTAGCTGCAGACATACATACATGATAGGCAAGACCAGATTCCCAGTGGAAGACTGAATGGGAGCTGTGATAGCAGGGCTATTGTTCAGAGGTACTTAGGTTAAATGAGAATAGCATCTAACAACTGATTTTGTATCCACAGGAAGTTCAGAACAAACTTCCATTTTATAGCACATGTCCAGCTCATTTTCCTTTATCTAGGGACTTGTGGCTTATTTGGTATTATTTTGGCATTATATTTATATCCCACCTTTTTTTTTTTTTTTCGAGAAACTCAAGAGCTTACACACAATTCTCCTCCTCTTCTCAACCTTATCCTCACAATAACAAGCTTGTGAGGTAGGTTGGGCTGAGAGTCTGTGACTCGCCCCAAATCATACAGGGAGTGCCATAGCTCAATGGGGACTAGAACCCAGATCTTTGGAGTCCCAGCCCCAGGGGTTGCGTGAAAGGGCATGATCAGGAGAAGTCTCAATATTCTATTCTGGATTAGATGTAGCAGTGTGGTTAACAGTACTGTATGCCTTCTTTTTTAAAATTCAGCATATATAATGGCCTAGATCCAGTTGGTATAAGAGATATTGATCCTAGACAGAGATGCATATCTCCAAAGACATCATAAGATGTGCCTAAACAGTTCAGTGGAGCCCAGGGAAGCCCTATCACAAGTAGAACAATATATTGCTCAAATACAATTCATTGCATTCTTTTCAGAGTTCCATTCCCTTGCAGCTACATTGAACATATTTCTAGAAGTTTAAAACAGCTTGATATTGGGAAAGACCAAAGCAAACATAACTTTATAGCTGTTTATAATTTTTTCACTTCTCTTCCCCACCTTCTTTTTTCCTTCTTCAAAGGTTGGGGTAGAGCTGCTGCTGCCACATACCTGGTTGGCTTCATTATCCTGTGCATCTGTTTTTGCCTAGCAGTCATAGCATTTTCCATTGAAATACTGCGGTTTAACTTTGTTAGAGGAATCGGAGGCTTGCTCTTCGTTGCTGGTAAGTCTGCAACTAACAGATGGATGTTTAAAATTCTTGCTGACCATTAATGTGACTTTACTGAAATGTCCCCCTCCTTTTCAAAATCTTGTTCTGGAGAGGATTATATTCTCAGTTCAAATATTCATTTCAAAAATAGACCTGTGTTAATCCAGAAGTAATCAAGAAGATTAGGGTTCTGTATCCAAGATTTTCAACAGCAAGATTCTCAATACATAACTCACTTTTTAAAAAAGCCACTGAACTCCCATCAAGCTGTAGTTTACGTCTGTCTTATTAACTCCTCTAGTCTGAGCTCCTGACCCATAGAGCTCCTAGGTATGATGACCATTTTCCATGTTAGAAAAACCACTGACAGATTGCTGCATGTGTGTAACTTTCTGGACTGGTTCATATATGCAAACTGGCCACATTTCTTCTCTTCAAGTTTCTTCTTGACTATACATTGGTAAAGAAAAGTTGCTACATGTGCTTTCTGTGCCGTGTTGCTTTTGGTTGCAGTAGACATTTCTGAAGCTGCAGAGATAGCAGATGTAGTAGCAGAGGTAATATATGTGACTCTGGCTCACTGCACAGTCTCGCACTAGCTACTAGAAAAGTGACTGTCTGCAAAACAGACTGGCTGCCTAACTGGAACCTTTCCATCATTGTATGTCTGGTATGTTCATTTTCATCCCTTGGCCAGGGATTTGAAATGTCTAGATCAAGAACAGGCAAAAGAAAGACCACAGTCAACCAGTGAGCTATATTTTACCTTTAGAATTCTTGCAAAGAATGATGGACCAGCACAGGCCTGTAGCTGACAGGTCTGCTGATAGCGCCCTTGAGTGGCTGCCAGTATTCCAGCATCTTGATGAGACCCACCAGTGATGCCTCACTGGAGCTCAGTGTGAAAAGGCTAAGTTACATGTGGCCCAGGACAAAGACACAACACAGCTGTTCCCTTCTCAGCCTTTTTACCTGGCAGCAATTACCACCAGAAGTTGACTTTCTCTTACTTGGAGATCACAGAATATAGAAGCCTAATCCCAGCTTCCCAAGCTTTATTTTCCTCCCTGGACATGTTGCATCTCCTGAAGCAATCAGAAGTTTGCTCCTCCAGTAACCTTCTCTTCCTTGCTCAGAACAAGTTCTACTTCTCAGCCTGCGCTACTTCAGGATGAATTATGGAACTTCAAAAATATAGTCCAGTTATCCACCTAAAAGTTGACATAATGGTGGTGTATCTCATGAGAAAATTAGGACGTTAAAGTAAAGAATGCAACTGCATGTGTGTGCACACATAAAATAGTTTAAAGTGATTATTGGTGTTCACCTTTGCTGGATGTGCTGCATCAGCGGAGAGTGCTTATGCAACAGGAGTAATCATTTCCTAAAGTAACCCCAGTATGAGCAGAACATAACAGGTCAGCACAGCTCCAGTTGTTTCTGGAGGTAACAGCTTTCTGTTGCCCTAGCAGTGGCACCACATTACATACCACAATATGGGGTACTGTCCTCAATTTCTAGTGCAGATAAGACTGTATTGTCTGATTTGCAAATCAAGTAATGGGCTGAAAACACATTAAGTAATCTGCTCTGCCAAAGTATTGTTGATGATTTCAGAATATCCATGTTGGTGTGCTAAATCATTTTAGGGGGCAATTGTAAATTATTGACACTGCTCCAAATGCCTCTGCTGGAGAAAACAATTTAATCATTTTCTTTTTTTATTTGCAGCTGCTTTCCAGATAATAGGCTTGGTTATCTATCCAGTGATGTTCACCGAAGAGATTCCATTAACAGGAAGTAACATGTTCAGTTGGGCCTATGGCTTTGGTTGGGCAAGCACTATTATTGCAATAGGTTGTGCATTCTTTTTCTGCTGTCTTCCCAACTGGGAAGATGAAGTTCTGGGTAACATAAAACCCTACATATACAATGGTGGCTTGCAACATGTTTGATGCGGAATTAATGGAAAATATTGTTTTGAGTAAATAAAGCAATTCTGTGTTTGCTTAATAGGAAAAAAATCAGTAATTACATTGCCATATTCTCATCTGAATTACTAATTTTGTTCTAATAAAGCCACAAACCCCACAGTTTCTTTTTCATTTCCATTTCCATACCCATTTTTGGATCTGGCTGCTGTTGCATTACCTAGAAGGAATTGCATTTTGTAGCTTCCCTTTCATTAATAACAATGGTTTTCCCCAGGAGACAAAGGTATTGGTGTACTTTGCTCCTATATGCTGATGTTTTACAGAGTACATTGATAAATAAGCATAATATCTTTAATCCTTTTTACAGTGCAAGACCAGTGAACATTTTAGATTTGTTAAGTCCAGTGGAAGCTGGTGGTTTCAATGTCAGTAGGGTGGTAGCACCCTGGATAACTCCTTAAAAGTTCAAAATAAAATCCAGGGTGGATACACCACACCAGTGACACTGGGGCCGCCAGTCATTGCACAGGTCTGTTATCCATAAAGCCACTTTGGAGTGGATTTTGGAAGAACTAAACTCAGATAAGCAATATATATGAGCGCGCGTCTGAAAAAGCACAGAATAAGCACATGTAGATTCACATGCAAGCTTTTAAGCACGGTTTCCTCTCAAATCCTATTATTTTCAGTGTGGCACAATAGAGCAATGCTTGGGGAACTGCAACCAATATGCTTACTGTGCTCAACCAGTTAGTGCTTATTGTAAAGTAAATCCAAAGTAGTAAAGCATTTTGTAAGGACATATATAACATACATTGATAATCTGTAGGTTTTGGTCATTATTAATTCTCCTCTAGTTGTTAACATTTTCAAACACTGTAACATACTCTCTATTTTTTTAACCACTAAGAAATGTTAAATGGTGTTTTCAGAGCACTCTGATTTTAATGTTGCAAGTGCTAATAGGCAGCATTTAAGAAAAACCACTTTGAACAGAATCTTAACAAAACTATGACTAGAAACTTTGATTGGAATATGGTTTACATTAAAATATTTTAGCATATGAAAGCTACAGTTATGGCTAATATTTGTATTAAAATGTGTTACTTAGAGTTTAGTTTGTCAAATATTTCTTGTTTTATAACTTTGTGTAGGGCTTTTTATTTTTGGCAGTTGCAGAAATCTTGTATATTGAAATTTAGTGTGCAAACCTATGCAAGTTAAACAGAAGAAATACTCTGTACGTCTCAGAATCCTCCAACTAGCATGGTCAACCAGGGAATTGAGAAGTGTAAAATGCATAGAATTTTGCCCCTTATGCATTTACACAAGATTATTTTATGTGTTTATAATTCTTATTGTCCAAAGGAATCCAGGTGCTCTTACATTATTTGATTAATAAAGTATTGTAAATTTCTCACACAAATGCTGATTTCAGTAGTTTTGTATGTGTTATACATGGTGTTGGATTGTGGCCAAACTGTATATTAAACTGTATATTAAACCCTTAAAACATACTGTAGAACTGTTTGGGCCAATTGTCACAACAATATACAACCATTTTTCAAGATGTTTGAAATATCTGTTGTGATTTGTAAATGTTTGTACTTAACAAAGCCCTGAAAAACCTCTGAGGATGCAGTCCCATACCCACTAACCTAGAAATACACCTTATTTAAATCAAAGGTGCTAATTTCTGAATGAGCACATACAGGATTACACTTTAAAGAGAGTAAGAAGTAGTAAATGGAAGAAACATTTTCAAAGAAAAGACGTCTTTCCAAGGAGGGCGGGAATTAGCATGGCTGATTTGACAGTGCATCGAGTATCATTTTCTTGTAACTCCTACAGAAGCCTATAAACCTCACCCTTGAAAATACACACCACTATTTTGCCATGTGACTAGCACAGAGAAAGTTTAACTCCTGCTAATTTCTAGATACTTCATTTAATGATAAGCTTACACCATGTACCTCCAAGGACAAATCAGCGTTTGCTTGATTCTAGACCACCACAAGACCAACATGAGTGGGGCTTAGTAAAAGCATCTCAAAAGATGAATCCACATTGTTACCAGCTTCTAGATGCTTGCATGTATAACCCCCTTCAGCCCTAGCCAAGGGAGCTAATAGTGAGAGATGATGGGCCCTGTGGTCCCCTAGATGTCCTGGTCTACAAGTTGACCAACCCTGGGCTAGTGACTTGGCACAGACAAAAATAAGCATTTACAGACTTTTCCTTGTTGGCAGCTAAGTACACGAAGAAGTGTTTGAGTCAAAGATCTTGTTCTGTTTGGTAAAGGATCAAAAACTAGCCTCCTGAGGGAATTTTGCCAAATATTATATATGTATCAACACACACAGCCCATCTAGAACAGTTCCTCTGCAAATTCAATTGGAGGCTAGAAATTAGCATAAGTCTTATAGTTGCAAATTCCTATGGCTTTTTCATCAATCGACTTAACATGGCAGATGTTTATGTAATTGGGCTGTAATTTTAGAGACAGGAGAATATTGTCATTATACAACATTCTACAACAATTATCCTTCTGAATCACAAACTTCTCCCCTCACTTGAAGACCCCCATTTTGAACAAAAATTTTACATAACACATAATTCTGTAAAAGAAACACATGTTTTTAGCCTGTAGGGCATTGGGATATTTTTAGGCCACAGAATTTGATGAGTTGGTACAGAATGATGGGTATGATGATGCTTAATAACTTTTTTTTAGATGTTGAAGAACAAGCAATTACCAGTGTAGGAATTACTAACCCTGTATTTACTTGTACCAAATTATGGAGGTTTTAAAATAATGTATGAATAATTAAATAAAGACATTTTATAAATTCATGTGGGACTGCTTTATTCAGCAACTACATACATTTCTGGTTTTGCAGGAAAAGGGTGGAAGAAACAGTTTGAGAGCATCCTAAGGCTGCATTGGCAGAGACCTCCAAGCTCTGAGTCTTCTGTCTAGCCCAGGGGTCAGCAACCTTTAACACTCAAAAGAGCCATTTGGACCCGTTTCCCACAGAAAAGAAAACATCTGGAGCTGCAAAACTCTTTTGAACCCTAAAATGAAAATAACACTGCGTATATCGTTTCTTACCTTTATGCTATCTATAAAAAAACTATAGTGTGTTGCATTTATGAAACAGATTGGGCTGTGTTGGTGTGTGTCGCAGATAGGCGGCTGTGCCGGTGCGTGTCACAGATCGGCGGCGGAGCTGCAGCGGAGGGATTCAAGAGCCACGTGCAGCTCCAGAGCCGCGGGTTGCTGACCCCTGGTCTAGCCTATGCCCTGTCAGCAGAAGGCAAACAGCAGCGGAGTATGGAGGGAAAATGTCTCCTGTTTCCTCCTTTTATTTCCATGTACAGTTAGATGACTCTTGGCTCATCTACTTGACTTATCTCTTGGTGGGCAGGATGAGTGATGGAGAGGATTTAAGATCCTGCAGATTCTGGCCTTTTCTGCTCCTCTGTAGCAGTGGGGAAGAGGAGAAAATCCAGAGTCCATGGCTGTAAGTCCATCCATCATCATTTCCACGGCTGTAAGTCCATCTGTGACTATGGAGGAGTCTGGACCGTCCTGTGGCTCTCCAGGTACTGTCTGGGAGCTATGAGATTGCTCTACCCAGGAGTAAATAGCATTTAAATTCTTATAATAAGGGAACATGTATACAAATTTACAAATACATTAACTGTTTAAAAGTCATTTACTAATTTGGAGGGACAATGTATGGCTCTACTGGGGGTTGGAGTGCTCCTTCGGTAAGTAGATGGTTGCACTGTTAATCGCTGGTATCAAAAAACGAAACCTCTGTCTTTGGGAAATTTGGGGATGTGACTCAAGTAGCATACACATGGACTTGTCGCTACAGACAAGACAAAATTAACTTATTAAGGAAATTATTTAAGGGAATAAATGATTCAAAGATTGTATAAACATATATACTTGATTACTGTTCTTAATGGGTAAGAGAATTTCCCCAGCTAAATAAGCTCTCAATTGCTTTTTTTTCTGATGAAAGTTCTTTACAGTCCACCACTTCCAATCCCTCCCAACTAGGAAGAGGTGATATGTGGTGTAGTTCCTCTCCTTCCAGCTCTTCATGTTGCCACTGGCTTTTAGGGATTATTTTGTTTTATGGATTATTTGCAGATGTTTCTGGTCAGACCTTTGCCTGAGATCTTTTGGTGAATGCTCTGCTACCAGCTTGAACCTATACCATGTTGTCTTACAAACCAGTTCCAGTCTTCCAAACTTCCAGTTGGGTTCTCACTAGACTTTTCTACATGAGATGATTAATTTATTGCATCTCCTTTCAGTTTTCTTGCAGAACTGAGACGCAAGCACTGCAAGAAGTATTTACACTATTACAACTCTAGGTGCCATCGTGGTATAGCAGAATAGTGCAAATACACAAGAGAAAATTACACTTTCACCATTAGAAATAATACCCCATTTTCCCAGCTCCAAAATTTAAAAACCAACACAAAAAATACCGTTTACAAATAGAGGTGAAACTGGAAGGTCGCATTGGCTAAAGAACCTGTAAACCAGGGGTCTCAAACTCAACCTGGGGGCCGCTGGAAGTAGAGTCTGGGTGAGGCTGGGCCGCATCAAGTATTCCACCACCACGGTGGTGGTGGGCCGCTCATCTGGAGGCTGGCCTGGGTGCCGCCAGCGCTTTGAAGGCCGCAATTGGCCCGTGGGCCGTGAGTTTGAGACCCCTGCTGTAAACAATCATAACTGGAGAACAAAGAACAGCAAGTGCCTTATATAGAAAATCTCTCAAGCTGACTCCACAGCTTGCTTCTTCCCCAGCTCTTCTCCAAGTCCAAACCAAGTTCTATAGAGAATCAACTACAGGTCATACCTTATAGTTTCCCTTCAGGTAATATACATCTTTTGCTTGAGCTCTTCCCCTTTCAGCCCTTAACTGTCATCCTGCCCCTAACATTTTTTTTTTAATCCATTCATCAAATCGTGTTTCTCATGGCACTTGTAATTGCCAGTCAAGATAATTGTGTTGCCCTCCTGACCAGTCCAAGCAATGGTAGCTTCTCTCCTGTTTCATGTTCACACTTTGCATGAGATCTCCTTTCCAAAGAAAATCTAACTAATCTGTGGCAAGTGTTGTAGCCCCATACAAAGTAGCAAAGCCAGGCTTCCGGCCTACTTAATTACATTATAATCTCATTAAGGGGTCACTCAAAATATATTAATATAACACAACAAATATGTAAAAATAGAATATTCCTTCACCATGTGTTACAGTTACATAAAGCTGTGTGCAAAAGAAACACTTGCGTAAGTGCTGAATATTCATCCGATATATTAGATCTTTTAAACATTAAAACAGATTTTGAAGAAATAGTTACAGCAGTTCGAATTCTTCTGAATGTTTAGGGTTCCCACCTCTTACCCAGGTCTGTTTTCCTTTAAATGGAGGTCACAGAGGATGTGGGGTGGGGGTTTGATGGTTTAATATTTATGCATTTACAGGTTCAGCATAGATGAAGCTTCTCTGCTTAACATTCAAATTTCACTCCTTGTCTTTTAGGTTTCTAAAGGGACAGCCACCTCTCCTGATCCTTGTAAAAGCATCCCAGCTCTGAGTCACTTAGCGTGATTCTGTCCCCGTACAAAACTGCTAGATTTACCTTTCTTTTTCTGCTCGATTAAGTCATTTTTAGAGGGGAGAACAGAAGAGGCAAGTCATTTGGATAGTGAACAATCAACTGCTAATCTCCATAACACATGGCGATCTGCCATGCTAAACTTGTCCTACCAGTTTGACTGTTTTAGCAGTTCCTTCCTACAATCTTAACAACAGGGTTAGGACTTAGCAAGAGATCATCCATCCCAACCCTAAAACACTATTAATTCTAATGCAAGCATTAAAACACTATTAATATAAGTCAATGGTGGGCAACTTGTAACCCTGCAAATGTTTGGGCATGCCACCTCATCATTGGCTACGCAGAGTGGCGCTGATGGAATTTGTAGTCCAAATTTCTCCCATGAAAAGTGGCAATCAAGGTGGCCAAAACATCTGCAGGTCAGTTTCCCATTCCTGGAATGGGAGTAATTAGGAGAAGAGTCCCTCAGTGGATGCAGGACTAGCTCATTTTTAAAAAGTTAAAGCTCCTTCACTTCCACCTGTATGTGCCTGTGAAATTCTAATCAAGGTAATCAGTTTTCAAAAGTTGGAAAAAAAAATAGAAATGTTGAAAAGAAGCTGAGATGCCCCAAAACATTATAGCCAAAGGTAGACAGCTAGATACTTGCATGCAACTGGGAAATCACAAAAAATGCTTTTGTCATTTCCAGTTTCTTTCATGCTTTTCTGTAAGCTGCCTTGAGACTTATTAAGTAAGGAAATGATTTTTCAATAAACAAACATGAACAGATGCTAGTTTTTCAGATAACCTGGTTTTCAAAAGCCAGACTTGATAATCTTGCTTTTCTATCACAGAGTCTTTGAACTGTGTGATGCAGCCAAAGTTCCATCCCAAAAATTTCAATAAGATCGCTTTATACTCTTTTCGGTGCCAGTTAAAGATCTTTTTATTTAGCCATCATTTTAATAATTAAGGATTTTAGATATTTTAAGATTTGATCACAGTCGCATTTTCTTTTTTCTTCCTTTTTTCCTTTAGTTTTATGAAAGTGTTTGTTTTATGTTTGCCTATTTCTATTAATTATTTTCTATTTTAATTATTGTATTATTATAATACTATTTTGTAAGCTGTCCTGAGACATGTTATCAGGAAGGACAGGATAAAAATGTTCTAAATAAATAAATAAATTGCTGAGAAGTTTTTAGCTCCCCTTGTGTAATGTATTTATGATGTTTATACCTGTCTCTCATCAAAGCAACTCAAAGTGCGGCCCTCAATACAAGGTCAGCCAGTGAGCAAAGGCAGATGATGGCCAAACTTGGACAGAGAGTGGGTTAACAGGGGTGGAGTCGAGGAGTCAGCAGATGCAGAATAGTCTTATGAATCCTCAACAGACATGGAGAACTTTAAGATCATGAATGGAGGGAGAGGAGGAATGATGGAATGCACACGGTCATGCAAAAGCACTCTTTTGGACCCTTCTACATTTTCGTAATCCAAGAAAAACCTTCCATTGTGCAGAAAATCAAGTGACTGTAAACTTATGAACTGCAAAACAAGCGGAAGAATCCACACAGCCAAAGGAAACAACAATGATAATATGGATATCTTCAGAGTTGTACAGAAAAACAATATTTAGAACCCAGAATCAGCCCATTGCAAAAGAGTATGCAAATATAATAATAATCATTATCCCCAGAGCCACATGAGCATTCAAATACTGGTAAGGTATACATGCTCAGCAATATTTGAGCATCTACAATTACACTGAGTATGCCCACAGCTCCAAAGCTTTTCAGCAGCAATAGCATAAAGCAGCACACACAGTACAGAAAATAAATCCAATTTATAATTGTCTGCTCTTAAATCATAAGGATTGAATGATAGTGATGATTACATTACCTTAATTTGTTGTTGTTGTTGTCGTTAGTCGCAAAGTCATGTCCGACCCATCGCGACCCCATGGACAACATTCCTCCAGGCCTCCCTGTCCTCCACCATCCCCTGGAGTCCACCTAAGCTCACACCGACTGTTTCAGTGACTCCATCCAGCCACCTCATTCTCTGCCGTCCCCTTCTCCTTTTGCCATCTATTGTTCCCAGCATTAGGCTCTTCTCCAGGGAGTCCTTCCTTCTCATTAGGTGGCCAAAGTATTTGAGTTTCATCTCCAGTATATGGCCTTCTAAAGAGTAGTCAGGGTTGATCTCCTCTAGGACTGACTTTTTGTTCTTGCAAGGAAACTAAAGCAGCTTACATGATCCTAGACTTCTCAATTTTATCCTCACAACAACCCTGTGAGGTAGGTTAGGCTGAGAGTCAGTAACTGGCCCAAATTCAAGCAGTGAGTTTCAGGTTGAGCAAGGACTAGAATCAACATAATCTGAGTCCCACTCCAACACAATAACCACTACACCATATTGTTTCTCCACTTTCAACCTTTTGCCTTCCTGTTTCCTCTCTTTCACAGTCTCTAGCTTTGTTTTTTCTTTCCCCTCTCTTTAGATCACATTTGATTAGTCAGGCCCACGAGACAGCCATTATGTGATTTGCCACATCCTCCGTGGGAATCATTTTGTGGTGGTGCTTATAGCAGCTTCTTAAACTCCCAAATGGTCCAAAAAAGCCTCAGGGCTCCTGATCTAAGCTGCAGCTCTCACCCCAATATCTTGCATCACTGAGAGTTCAGCCTGTCATGTGAACCACTTCCACTAGACCGCTCCTCCCCAACATGGTACCTTCCAGATGCTTTGGGCTAGAGTTCTCTTCAGCCACAGACAACAAGCCAATGGTTAAAGATGTTGGGAATTATAGTCTCATATATTGAGGGCAGGGTACTGACTTGGGGAAGGCTAGGTTATCTTCCTCATGCATGAAGAAGTGTTACATGTAGAAATGCACTACAGGACAACACTGCTGGTTCCACTCCTGAGATTGTACAGCTTCCAGCCGCTCCGCTCTGATGATCAAACACCAGGAGATGTCCTTAATACATTCGCATGATGTGTGTCCTGCACAATGGTGTCCTGCACAGATGTGTCCTTCCCACTCATATGTCTGGTAACCGGGATCCCCCTCACATGGAGGAACTCTACAAACACGTCTGCATGTGTTAAGGCACATTATCTCTGTGGTTGAAAAGAGGCAGGTTTGAAGTGACCGGTGTCTGGCCTGTGTGTTTGGGTGGTAGGGCTACACAACATAATGCCCAGCTTCATCATGCATAGGGTGAATGTGTGAATGGGGTCATGTATGTTCCTCCTGAAGTTCTCCACCAACATCCGGAGAATAAATTTAGCAGCACATGCTGTTACAAATTAGAAACTGGTTAAGAACAGGAAGCAGAAATCCACATTTTTTACATTTGTTGTTGTTAAAGAACATTATTATTATTTTTACAACTTACTTTTTTCCCTCTTTCAAGGAACCTAAGCTTGCCTCCCCTCTCCATTTTTTTTCCTCATAACAGCCCTGCAAGGTAGGTTAAGCTAGTAACTAGCCCAAAGTCACTCAATGAGCTTTATGGCAGAACAGGGATATGGTATTCCTGGACAGTGCATATGCCTAAAGATGAGCTTATTCCTTAACTCTTACCACACAATTGCCTAACTTAGCCACTATTTTACACCAGGTTAGCTTTCTTGCAGTTTATAAGACCCAAGCCCTAGAGGACTGCAAAGAGATCTATAAATTAAAATAAATTATGAATGGACAGGAAATAATAATGCTCTTCACAAAAACACCCTATCTTGGAAGGAAGCCCAGCAAAATTGCTGCAATTCTGGGCAGTTTGCAGCTGGTGCTACTAGCAAGGAGAGTTGGTTCTCTTCACTGTCCAGTTCACCTGCTTTCTCTTACTGAGTTGTGAAAAGGTGCAACAGCATAGCAGGCCCGGCCGCTAGAGAAAGGAGTCTTTGGTCCCATTAAGACTATCCACTGAGGATGGTATCCTTGAAATACCCTCAACAAGAGCCAGTGTGGTGTAGTAGCTTGAGTGTTGTGGTGGGGATTTGGGGCACTGGGGTTCTATCCCCCACTCAGCCATGAAGCTCACTGGGTGACTTTGGGCAGCCACAGACTCTCAGCCCAGCCTACCTCACAGGGTTGTTGTTGTTGTTGAGATAAAATGGAATCATGTAAGTTGCCTTGAATTCCTCACAAGAGGAGAAAAGGTGGGATATAAAGGCAATGCAATAAAGATAACATCTGTAATGTGTTGTTTAATGTTCTACAACTAACACAGTTGGCTTACTGCTACATTTTGTTCAGATTTTGTATTGTTGTCCAAAATAAATTTCAGCCAGTTGCCATTTTGCATATTTCAGTTTAGGCTTTTGTAAAACTTTACATTAAGTGTTAGTCCTAATATAAGCTCAACATTTCACACTCGCATCGGTCATTTCATTAAAACAGTATTGTTGCAAGAGAAAATTTATTTCAGTAAATACTTTGTATTAGCCATTTTGGGTGTCATGTTTTATGGTGATAAATTGCATTGCTTATGTACAGGCATATTTGAATTCAACAGACTGATTTTAAAAAAAACAAGTAAGCGGGGAACTTTCCCTCAAATAACCTCAAATGTGGGAAATTTTCCAGACCAGTTAGCAAACAGGGCCTATTTTCACTTGTGAAATGTTGGAGCATACAGTTTTTCTAACAGATTCTTTTACCAAGTTCTAATTCTTAACCTTCTTTAAGGAAACTGAGCTCACATAAAGTGATATAAAATGGATTCTATCTGAAGTCTAAATATGCCTGCCAGATAAACTTTTAGTTGCTGCTTTATCAATGCTGCCTGTTCACACTTTAAGTACGCCTTATTGTGCACTAAAAGAAGTCATAGGAAGCCTCAGCTAGTTGTGTGGTAACTCTTTAATACATCTGAAACACCCCCCGCCCCCGCACACAAATAATTTTCCATCTGTCTTTTCTCCCTTCCCTCCAAATGTTTGGTTGTTCTTTGCTGTGAAGTTTTCCAGGCATGATAGTGTTAAAGGCTAATGGCAATGGGGTGTTACCTGTATTTAATTTAATTAGTAGCAGACCAAAGAAATGACAAGGCAAATTCCGAAATGAGCACAGACCCAACCCTAAATCTTCTTTCCAGCTCAACAGGTTGCTGTAGCGACTTGCTCACTTGAAATTTAGGTGGAGTTTTCTTCAGAGTCTCTGGATGCAGAAGCTCTTCTCTACCTCTGCCTTACCCTTCTTCGTCCTCTTCTCCTCTCTCTGAATTTCTCTTTCTCTCATTCACTTTCTATAAGCCTTTTTTAAATAGCTGTTTTCCCCAGCACAGATTGCAGGAAGACCTTTTTGCTTACAAGTCGACCAACCGAAGAAGGCCGGGACAAGATGGTTAAGTACGGGCTGGACTACACCCGCTGCCGATGGATCTTGCCTCTGCTTTTGGGCCTAGCCATGATCTTTGGCATCATAGCACTTGCTGGTTGGGGTTGGCTATACTCTCAGACCCTGCCATTTATTCAGTATGCCTCGTTATGGAGAATATGTTCTCTAGATAATGGAGAACAATGCAGATCGCTCATGAATTATGGTAAGAAATTCCGTGATGAAGGCTATGCTCCAATGACACATATGGTGGCTCAAGCTCCTATCTGCACTATTTGAAAGGGGAAGGGTAGTTTAAGAAAGAAGGTAATAAGGTTTGATCGATGCATGCTGATGGTGTTTATTCCATAGAGGTTTTCCTATGCTCCGGAGTATGGAATACTGCTTCTCATACCGCTTCTTCCCATTTTCACTAGTACTTTCTATATTTTCCTCCAACAAAGTGGATTAAGTTTTAGTAACTCTGGTGAAGAGTCATTATGAAATGCTATGTTTAATAAACCCAAATAAATAATCCCCCCACAAGCTTTCAAGATGCAATTTGCTATCTATGAGTACATGTATATCCACAAAAGTAAGTCTGGTTAGCAAATCCTCTTTTTAATCTCTTGTGCTTTCCTGCATGATCATAATGGTTTGGGGTAAACTTAGAGGCATTGACAAGTGGGGATTCTTCCATAACAAGCATACTGTAAAACTTAGTTGTGTTGAACTAAGCTTTATATAATAGAGTCTGTGTTGGTCTGCCACGCATCAAGAGAGACAGACAGCTGGTACACAGTTACTGGAGCAAATGATGTATCTATTTTAAAGCAGTCACTGCTGGTGCTTTTCTATTAAACTAAAATGCATATTTGGAGCAGAATAACTTTGGTTTAAAAAGCAATTTCTCATATCTGTTACCTTAGATATGCACTGGAATGAAGACATTCCAGAAGTATTTTCTTCAGACTGACCCTTGGTTTTAGTTTACATATTTTTAAAATCTATTGGATGCCTTTTAAATCAGTGACTACTAGCATTGTCATTACTAAATCAGTTACTAAATACATTACTAAAGTATGTATAAGATCAGGATCAATGTTAGGTTATATCCTGGTGTCTAATTATAGGCCAGGCATGGCATTTATGCATAAAACCAATCAGAAAAGCAAACTATCTATGGTTCTGATCAATTAACATAGAGTGTTAGCCACCAACTTTAATGACTTGTTAAAAAAGGGGGATTAGATGCTTTTTCTGACTCAAAGGAACTATACCTCTGAATACCCATGGCTGAGGAACAACTTCGGAGATTTCCTGCTCTTTGGTCATCTCTCCATAGGCATCTAGTTGGCTGCTGAGAGAAACAGGCCTTTGGTCCAATCTGGCACAGCTCTTACATTACATTATTTTGAGTCTGTTACTTTGGATTGCTTACATGAAGGAAAAAAGGCAGGATATTAATGTGACATAATTATGCATAACATTCTTAATACCCTGATGTCAAAATGCTTAACTTTCTTATCCATACCTATAAGAAAAATAGATTTAGAAGTATTCATTTTCTTTTTCTATTTGGACTAATAAATCTCTTGCTAGGGTTGAACAGAAAAATAGAGAAGAAAGGAGAAAACACTGTACAAAAAAGCATAATATTTTCATAGATTTTTGGTGGGGGTTCGCAGTCAATGGGATTTTTAAAATATAGATTAACATAAGCATCTGACTGGTTAAAAATCTTATTGCCTTTAAAGTCTTTCCCTTATGATCAGAATAATGGGATTATTTCAATATGCTAAATATAATTCATGATATAGAGTGTTCTGTGAATAATACAATTTGCAAACCTCCTATCCACCATTTTAAAATATGTGTAATATACTGCTGTGGACCAAACTGCACATTTGGATAATCATGTAGGTGTAGCTGAGCCTGATATTTTCTTTACACTACTGTAACCCAATTCAGTTTGGTACTAGTGTGCTCCATGAGCAAAGGATTAAACTCATCTGCTATTCTCCCCAGGACATCCCTCTCCAGGACGTTTTTTTAAAAAGGGAAAAAAGTCTGCATTGACTCCAGTGGAAACTTTTGGTAGTGTGGTAGAATTTAAGGAAAAAATAGGTGCTGGCCAAGAGCTGATCCTGGTCTGCACAGTTACACTGGAGTAAATAAGAATATCACATTCCACTGCATCACATTAGCAGAAGTCCCACAGGTCTTCAGTGCTGGTAAAGCAATGAAATTCTAGTGTTGCCAAACTTTGGAAAGCAGATCTTCTGTCCCTTTGACTCCTCCTTATCTTCACCCATACCTGTTGCCCACCCAAAAAAATGAGATTGGAATTCCATGCTGTTTTGTAAAGTTGTGAGAAATACAGTTATTCCATGTGTAAATGTTCTGTCTTCTTCGGGGTTCGTAAGTAATGCCCCAGCCACTCCTGAGTAATTCATAACCTATGTAAAGCGTGAAACCCTCCATGCTAGCTGGCAAAAGGTGGGGAGTTTATGCAAGAACCTCTCCCAGTCTACCAGATAGATTACATGCATGGAACACAGAAAGTAACCATACCTATTACAATAGAAAAGACAATTTTAACTTATAGGTTCTTACATGTTGAGAGTCTATGGCAATATTTTGTTGAACCCTTCCAAAAGTGAAAAGCTAACGGATTAAGTGTTATTTATGTTGGTGTATAGTCAACTTTTTTCAGAAGATAATTTTTTCAGAAGTTATAGATCAATGGATTAGAGTTATCTTTCTCCAGAAGACAAGGTGAGAAATAGAACAGAGTGAAATAAAGAAGGAGCTCTAATAAACCATTGTGTGTTTGTTTTTAAAAATATATATTTTAAGGCCACAATTCTATGCACACTTACCTGAAAGTAAGGTAAGAGCTGTCAAAAAACAAACTATTAAGAGAAACCAAAACAGTAAATAATCTTTGCTTATGAAAAGGAAGGAGTTTGATCTAAATCATTTTTCACAGCGCAGTCCCCTAATTTCTTCCTATGTAGTCTGTATGCTTGTGCACATTTCGCCACCCCCGCCCCCGAGCCTCTGGGTGCTTGGAAAACTGCAAAAGCGTATCCTTCTTTTTTCTTCGGAAAAGGAATTTTGACAGCTATCTGCTAAACTCTACTTCTATTTTTTTTTAAATGGGAGGGTTTGACAGGACTATGGGTGGCTTTTGCCTAGGACATATGGCTGCATATGACTAAGCCAAAAAAAAACCTTAGTGCCCAGTGAGAGCCCCTTTTTAAGGCTGGTTTGTGACAGCTGGTACCACCTGGAAGCACTCATTGTGCACACTTTTTCAGTATTCTCTTTCTAGTCTTAGCCTGCTTATAACAAACAGGCATCACAGTTCTTCAACTGATATTTATAAATGGATTTTTACACTTTGGGTTCTGCACAGTGTCAGAATCTGTCCTGAATTTAGTATGTCTAGATTCCATGTGTGCTAAGCACGGAAGACGCTTTCAGCACTGCTGGCCAAAAAATATTGTATACCTATTTGACTTTTTCCCTCCTTAAGTTGTTTTTTCCGTAAGAAAAATAGTTGGAAGAAGCAATAGGGAAGTGAGGGGCATCATCATCCCTTGAGACTGCCTGCAAGTAGTCAGCACTGCTTATTTATTTCTTAATGCAGCACCCACTTGTGGAATGGAGATTCAGTGCTTCCAGGGGCAAGATGAAATGAGGAGAAATGCTTGTCTGTGGAAGAGGGCAGGCCGGCCCCTTTTGCTTCATTTTCTGCCTGTTTAGTTCAAAGAAATCAGTGTTTCTGTGGCAATAAGCTTTTAAAGCTAAAGTCATGCAGTCATTTTTCAGAGCAAGGCTTTGATTCCCATGGCGTTTGCACACAGTCTTTGTCCCTCAGGCATCTCTAGCCAAATGGGTTGCTGAAACATGATGCTAACCCTGCAAAACCTGTTTAACTGAGAGAAAGATAGGTGAGTATACACTCCAAGATCAGCGATCCATCTTTCAGCTTTCTCAAAAGAATTAATATCCACTAGTTCATACAAAGATGGGCACACAGGTTGCTTTCACATGAAGTTTTTATTGTGCAATTGTCCCACCTCATTCTTGGAATCTTACAGGGTGTGTGTATTCCGATTGCAATAGTCACCCTCTTGTAACTATCTTGTCTTTCCCGGCTTCTTCCGTCCTTTTGTCACCAGGGAAATCCACTGAGGAGCAAAAGACTGAATAGCTACACAGTTCGTTTTGACTGATAGTGCTCTGTCCATCTGGAAGCATTCCAAATTGTTCTGTTAATTAAGTGTTCCCATGTACAGACACAATATTTAGGCACATACCCTCTTTAATGGATGAATAAAATTTAGTATGTATTTCAGTATAAGAAAGAGTAAAGAGCAGGTATTATTTATCTTTCCTTGTATTTTCAGCCTGGGGTAGAGCTGCAGCTGCCACTTTCTTAGTTGGATTTGTACTTGTAGTAATCTGCTTCGCCTTATCCATTATCGCATTTGCCATCCCAACACTTCGTTTCAACTTCATAAGAGGAATAGGAGGCCTCTGTTTTGTTGCAGGTAAGGCTGTTTATTGAAGTACAAAGTAGAGTGTGGGGTGCCTGGTTTTGAATTTAGAGACAGGAGTTGCTGCTTTGGATGTAGGAAAACATAGTGTCTGCATAAACCTTCTAAGAATTAAAAATCTTAGCGCATTTAAGGGCACTATAAAATTCAGCAAGGTGCAAATGTCTCCTTATAAATACACACAACTTAATCTTTTGTGGCATGCAATATCAAATGCAGCCCGTGGCAGAAAATGGACCTAACCTCTTAACCCTTCCTGAATGGTATTCCTGGAAGTAGTATGGGAATGAGATTATCAAAATTGTCATACTTCCTTGATAGAAGTATTGGACAAGTGGGCCCTGCAATGAAATGTCACACTGTATATTTCTCTAAAAGAGAACGGCTCACATTCAGAGCTTTTTCCAGCCTAGAATAGAATTGGAGAAATGAAAGTTACTTTTCCTTCTTCATACTCTAGGGCTTTTCCTCTTGTACTAAAGAGCAGGTGCCTCAGAATTGACTAATTTATAGCAAATATAGCAGTGGCTCTAGGGAACAGACAAGAGAAAGTAAACCTTTCCCTCTTCTTCCTGCCCGAGCATCCTTGAGTAGCACAGGAAGGATTTTTTAAAAATCTTTCTCAATCCTTTCCTCCCCTCTTTAGGATAATTACAACAAGCTGGGAAAAGTTTGAGCAGGCCAGTTCCTAAGTTTGTAGAACCTACTATTTTTGGGTGGTCCCTTTTGACTTCCAGACTGATAGGTATTCAGACGCCTGATTCCACAGTCATGTATTTATTTAATAGATTTATAAAACACCTACCATATTAAAAATTTAGTCGCTACTTACAGAGCAATCTTTACTGTGTTTAGACAACCATAGAATATCTTGAGTCCCCAGTTATGAGGCTGGAAAATTACCCTAATATATCTGGGGTCCTACATTTTGGGCACGCTTCTCCTTGCTAAGCTGGTTTCTGATGCTGTAAGAGTGACCTCCGAGACAGGCTTTTTTTTTGCAGGGGGTGCTGGTGCTATTAGGTATGTGGTATCCTGGGGTGTCTCAGCTCCTTCTCCCCTGCTCTGAGACACCACCCTTAGCCAGCCAAAATTGGCAGCCTACGTGCTTTGCTGGGCAGGAGGAGCTTGCAGATGACTGTTGCCTCCGCACTGCTCCCACTCTGCATGGCATGTCCATAATGTTCCAAGTTCAGAGAGTTATGGGTACCTTGATTGGATTGTGCCCTTAAAATATTTTCTACTGCCTTTTCACAGGAATTGCCAAGACAGTGTAGATCAAATCAAAACGGCTATACCAGCATTAAAATGTTAAAAACAAAATCACGCTAAAATGTTTATTTATTTATTTTAAATCATTTGTATGCCGCCCAGTTGTGCCACAGCACCTCTGGGCTGCTCACAACCACAAGATAAAAACACAATAAAAACCTGGAACACATTAAAAACAACAATAAAACACAGCAAAACGTGCAAAACAAAGTTCTTATGGCAATTAGTTATTAAAATGTTTTTTTAAAAGGAAGGCTGTGATCCTATCCCCTCTTCCCTAGCAGTCAGATTCACTGAATACAGAAGTACTTCTGAGTAATCATGGAGATGATTGCCTCGTAAGAGAACTTAAAACACCACTAAAAGCAATTGAAAAAACCCGATTGGAAAGATGTGTCAACTCCTCTTCAAAATATCCAGAGAATGAGGTTGGATGGAGTAGAATAGCATAGAGGGTATAGCCTTACAGTTTTCATTATCACTCATTTTGATTTAATGTTTTGTTTTTATCTTTTTTGCAGCGGTATTCGCAATTATGGGTCTTGTCATCTACCCTGTAACGATTACAAAATATATCGCCTTCCCAGCAAATACTGTGAATGAGTTCGGTTGGGCTTACGGCTTTGGATGGACCATGTGTCTTATGGCAATAGGCCTAGGGTTCTTCTTTTGCTGCCTACCCCTCTATGAAGATCAGATTTTGGGAAATGTCAAGCCTTATTATTATCCAGGCCCCTAGGAGCAGCAGCAGAGACATCTTATTGATTTCTTGGATATTTCATTCTAAATATAAAACATCACCCTGCAACCCCACCATAGCCCACTCATCCAGCTCTGCGCTATCCAAGCTAAGCAGCAGCAGAGTCTTAGCAAATTTAAAAGGCACACTTTGGTTGCAGGCCTCTGTACATGTAAACAAATAAAAACCCTGCATCTACCAGCATTCCCTGCCCAGTTGGCTGAGGATTGTTGGGTGGTACAGGGCTCTTGTCTGTTGAAACATGCTGAGGATTACAACCCCACTAAATCATTTTACATGAGTTAAAAGTAATACATTATTTTCCATTTTTGTTTGATGTGGGTGGGTTAGGCTAGTTTGCAAATTTTTGTGATTTCTCTTAAGAACTGGGAACAACAAAGCTTTACTGTTTAGTGGAGAAGTCACAGTATATTTGCTATTCTGAGGTAGAGCAACTAAATCAAAATTTCATGAATACATTGGTATAACTAATTGACTATGAATTAAAATGTACATATTTAATTGAAACTGATCTGTTCCCTGTGAAAGGGTATTTGGTGCCAATGGCATTGCTATAAGCTACCTACAGACATATCTTCTACCTTTTTTTCAGTCAGTGGAGTTACACTAATTTGTCAAAGAAGCAATTACTTGTCAGTATTTAGTCAAAGAAGTTTGGTATGTTAAAAATGTCCTCAGCACTGAGATACTGAAACATTCATTCTATTGGTTAATGTACTGCTTCCTTGTCTTTTTCATGAGCTATACCCATATATATTCTATAGACAGTCAGATACTCCTACAGTGAAGGAAAACAGAGGGCCTCATAGTTCTCTGAAATCTGGTTCAGAACAGTGGGTTGGATTTAAATTCACCCTTCCACAAATGCCTTCAGTCCATGGCGTCTCATGAAAAAAGGAGCAGGTACAAGTAGGTGATTTCTTAGGGCACTAAGCTGGCTGTGGACTGCTGGGAGTTTAGGTCTTTTTCCGTGTAAACATGCATGGGATTGTACGCTTAGGACCTGAGCAGCTGCTGTCAGTCAGAATAGACAATATTAGACTGAGCTGGTGCCAGGTGGCTTACTATGTTTTAGATGTGATTGGGGTAAAGTTAATAACAGGAGTAATCCCATATCTATTTGTCTGATTGGAAATACAGAGAAAATGTCCATATTTATGCCACATATGCATGCACAATCTTTCCCATCCCCATACAGCTTATAATGAACAGCAATCTCCTGTAAGTTGTTCTCAGAGCTGCAGATAACCATGCCAGAAGCAAAATGAGGGAAGGTGTTGGTTGGCTGAAGTCTGTACTGCACTTTTGTATTCATACCTCTTCATTTTGTGTTGGGTTGCTTTACATGTGCTAAGCTCATAGACTTCCCTAGCAGTGGATGCTTGAAAGAAAGTAAATTGTATCAATGCAAAAATCTTCCTTGTGGCCTTTTGTACAAAGCTATTGTTTTATACTGGATTTGTCTACCCCTTTTTATATATAATACATAGATATTAACTGTAAAGAAGCAGCATAAGCTTTCATCATAAAACAGAATGCTGCACATGCAGCACAATGGGATGCTAGTGTACCGTGTAGTGCAGAGAATCAGAAAACTGAACCACAATGACAGCATCAGCTGTTAACTACTTCCAGTGTACTAACGATGCTACATCAATTCCTTTTGTCACCAATCTTGACTTATCTTACAGGGCAATACAGTGGTTACTTGCAAATAAAACTGCATTGTAGCTTTATTTTGTATGACAAGAATTATATGAAGCCTTTGCTGTGTATAATGCCCAAGGTGCTAGCTGAGTGTTAAATCAGTGGTATTAATAGTAGTAGTCTTAACTCCAGCCCAATCATGCAGTACTGACATAATATTGCATAGTTCTTAAATGCATAATAATTCTGAAGTTGTATAATTAAAGTCAGTTAATAAAATCTTGCTGTTTCCTATTTTATGGTTAAAAGAATGTGTAGGACTGGTGTGAAAATGCTTAGCTATCATCAAAACTAATTTAGGGTGTAGAAATGTTGCCTTTGAAGTCCGCAAAATGATTCATTTGTGCTTTGCAATTCTGTTAGATCAGAACTGCAGAAGTCTAACTCCTTTGAGAGGAAATAGCATGTTCTTGAAAAAACACACTGGCACCCACCTAAGATTTTTATCAGGATTACCATGATAGACCATCAGAAATACTATATAACACAACACCTGAGTTCACATGATGCAAACAATCACATGTGGGCTCTACGGTGTTTGGCTTTTTCTCTGGACTTACTAGTCAGATGATTGCATGGTTACCTTTCCACATTCTCTGCTCCACCTTTCTAGCCTTACCATGCGCCCCAGCAGCCCCTCTAAGAGAAATCCCCGTCCTTTCCCTTTTCTTGCATATGGACTCCAGCAGCCTCCTCCTGACAGGACCACTGCAGTTGTATGGCAGGCCTCCCTTTCCCCCTCCTGAGTGTACATCCATGTCTGTGGTGCTTTCCAGCTGCTCCAAACCTCACAGAGATGCTCTTTGCCAAGAGACTCTGTGGTGTTTCCATACCAACAATGGAAAAATGGTAGTCTCAGATCCGGATGACCAGTGAAGCCATGGTGAAATCTTTGAACAAGCCATTGAATATCTTCATGAGTTGGGGAAACTAATTCTACCATGCAGAAACTTGAGAACTTGGTCCGGATGATACAACAGATCCACAGCAGTAAAACTTTACACGGCTTCTTGTGTTGTGCAAACCTGCCCAGCCTTTTTGAATTATGTCACTTCAGATTGCAGAGGGAGTTTCCATTTGTGATGGGTTTCCTCTGTGCAGAAAACAAGTTTGCTTCAGCAATTGTCTTTTGTCCAGTCTGGAGAGGCATTTCCTCAGGACCAAAACAGTAATTGCTCTGGTTTTGTTTCTATTTACTTTGGAAGGCAATTCAGCATGCCATGTGAAGCCAAAGAACTGATGCCAGAACTGACCACTTTTACTACAAAAAACTGAGTTATATGTGACTCTTCCACTCCCACTCCCCAACTCCCCAGGATAGGCAACCTTTTTGACACATGAGTACCTTTGACTATGGGAGAAACTGGCCTGGCTGCTACCACAAAATGGCTGCCATGGGGGCATGGCTACTCCTATGTGCCCCAGCAACTGAATGTAAGGCAGAGGAGGAGTCTGAACTCCAACAGGGGCCAGGACAAGACCTCCTGCTGCTCCTGGATGGGGGAGCAGCATGCACTGCTACAATTACTTCAGCTGCAACATTCAAATCATCCATGAGGTTCTCTGGAGTGTCGGCCACCCTATGCCTCAATTTGAGACGCACAGGACAGCAGCATTAGGCCCCTCCATGAGGGGCATGTGGGATCTGCCTCCCTTACTGATCTGATGCCTGAAGTGAGGGATTCACTCTGCCTTTTGGAGGGCTAGCCCTGGCCCCAACACATTAAACTGTTCCATGGAACCCACAGTTTTCTTCACCAATCAAATATATTTGACAGAAAGCAAACTCCTCACATCTGCTGACCATCTTATTCCCCCATCTCTTTTTCTCTCATTCTGGGTCACCATAGATGCTTTCTCCCTCTCCCTCTTCCTCAAACACACACACACAGAGCACCTGCATGCAAATTCAGATTTTCATATCTAGAAGGCACATTTGCTTTTTGTTTTGTTTTTTGCTGTAGGGTATTTTTTTCTTTTTCTTTTTTTGCATGGAGGGGCCAATCTGGTTCCCATACCTCTCACACTGTGGTCTTGACTGAGCCTGCAGCACTTAAAGTAAAAGATGTAGTTGCTAGACATGGATGTAATGTCTGTTTTGGTTCTGAGAGTGAAGAATTAGAGTTCAAAGGGATCCTGAATGTCTTTGCTAGCAGGACTGTAAGGGACCCTGGAAAGTCACTCATGCAAACCAAAGCCAAGCCCACAACACCAGGTTGGAATATTATAAAGAAAAAGCTCTAAAAACACAAACATGCCTCCAGGTTTCTTCTAAGAGATGGCAGGCAGGGATGAGGTGATCCTAAGGGGACAGACAGTACACAGATATGAAGGCATCCTTGTTAAGGTTGAGAATGTGTGTCCTTGAGGCTTAATAAGTATGGGGTGCCAGATCTTGTTGTAAGAAGGATCCTTAAAAGGCGGTGGCAGGGGTGGGTGGGTCCCTTCTATACATCCTAATTTAAGAGACTTACTGTCTCCTTGTAGCTATAGTAAATACCGTGGCTGGGCTAGGAATGTTATCTGTTCCGTGTCTGAGGGTAAGCCAAATAGTCTTGCTCACTTGTGGATAAAAACTGAGTGAGGGGAGCTATTCAAACCTAGTTAACCTCAATTCCTGTGTTCCATGTGCTGAGGTGAAATGATGGTCAAAAGCGGTCCTGAAGTCATCTGTCCCAGAAACATCAGGAGATGTTTCTCTCTCGGATCTTCTGACACTCTTAATGAAATGAATATTAAAAGGGGGATATTTATTTATGGCTGACTTTTGCACAAAGTCTTATCTACTAAAAAGCCTTGGAGGCTGCATTTGTTTAAATAATAAAGACTTTAACATGTTAAAACTTAAAAACTGTACAGTAAAACTGTACATTTTGAAAGCCTGCATTTAAATAATGTCCCTTTACATTCCTTCTAAACGCCAAGAGATTGGGGTGTGTAACATAGTTCTTGAGGGAGTCTATTCCACAGTTTAGGCGTATCATAGAAGAAAGAGCTTGTGTACATCCCAACAAACAGGCCTCTATAACTAATGGTGCCATCAAAAGTGCCTTTTCTGCAGATCTTAACAGTTGGGCACCTGCTGGCCATCCAGACAGGTGATACCTTAGATAGCCATTTAGTGCTTTGAAGGTTTAGATCAAACCTTTTTAATCCCTTGAATTATCCCCAGAAAGCAATTTTTCTTCTTGTTTTTTGTGCATGGACCAGAACCACTACAAAAGAGCACCCCGTAGGCCCAGCCTTGCTGGGTACTCTGGAAGGGCACCTTT